GTAGGAAATATCAGTTTACATTTCCAAACATTCATTTTGCCATTAGTTATCCATTAGTCATAATCCAGTGAGATTTTAGTCTGACAACAGCCAGTGCTCCACACAGAGATCTGATCTGATCTGGTCTGGAATGACGTGAAGAAACAGAACAAACTGTGACAGACTAAATCCAGAAGAACAGTGGCAACGTCTCCAAGACGCTTCAAGAAACCTACCTGCAAAGTGTTCCAATAAGTTTGGCCACCACTGTATGTATATGTATATATGTATGGATATATCTATATTAGTTGTTGTACAAAGGAAGACCCTTCTTGCACAAAGCTTTCCCAGTCAAAACACAGAAACTGATGGTGACACAGAGCTGAAGGACCGACAGGGCTATCATCATGATATCTAGTCCTCTGAAGATATTCTGGGTGGGTAAAGAGTAGAGTGTTAACTTACTAAAAAGGAAAACCATCCATAAAGCCTGTAAGACATTTACAGGAAATCAATAAAACACAACAGCTCCCTTTCAAGTTTTTCCTATTCCTATTCAGAAAACCTGGAAAAAAGCACATCATATGGACAACTTTTTGCTTTTTGTAAAAGAACTTGAACTGTGAGCATGTTTGGAAGAAGATTTGATATGCAGTAGCTAGTCTTACATCATCTAAAGAAAAGAAAGATAATTACCTCACTGAGATTCTTGTAGAACAAACACATCTCTTTTCTCCTATTATCTTCAGGGGAAGGCGTTTCGTAACGATAACCATATCCATCATAGTGTGAATGATGATAACTGCTGGTTTCACAGTTATCATATGTATGACTATTAGCAAGGTCCACTGAATACAGCACAACAGCTGTGATAGCCAATCCAGCACTGACTACATTTAAAATTATCCCGATTATCAGCTGTGAAACACAAAGAATATATATATATACAGACATATACACACACACACACACACACACAAATATAAATATATAGGGGGGGGGCTTTTGAAAACTTTTTATAGGCGTATAAAACTCTATAGGTGGAGGTTGACACAACTACTCGTCTTTATAGGCAAGTACCAGATAATAGGGCCCGGTTTCATGAAAATGCGTATAAATAGTACGCCAAATAAAAACGAAAACTCGTGGTATTGATACGCAAAAATGGACTTTGGCGTGTATATGCTAGGCACGTGTTTGGCGTGCCGTCAAAATACCCCCAAAATCCGTTGCCATGACTTATCGCGAGAGGCAAAAGGTTACGTTTAAGTCTCATAACATTGGTTAATGGAAACGCCGTCATTTCGCAATACTTTTTTATCGACATTTATAAAATATCGCCAAAGTGTTGCGCAAATCTGTAATGGAAAGATTTGATAAAAACAAGAGGGCTCCCCCAAAGTCCACGGTATAGGTCGAACACTGCGTGCATATATTACGCAGTTTTCGCGTACATATGATACGCATCTACCCCACAAACCTAATCCTACCCATCGCGTTTAGATAATAGGTGACATGCCATGAAATGTGGAAACTGTATTTAACGTGATCAAAATGTAATAAAAACATTGTAAGTTAGGCCTATTAATTGTAATGATTTCATTTCCACGGTTATTCAAACAATGAATAAATTATATAGAGAAAGCGAGCAAAGAACACCGTACCAACGGAGCTTTTTGAAACTCAACCATTGCGTCGCAAAATGATTCACTGTTTCGAAGCGCTCCAATCAGATCGCGTATCGCAAATCATTTGATTCAGATCAAGACACTTACCAGACAAGAAGAGGGAAACTTCGCTGTAAGAATGCACACAATTCCAACTACAAGGAACTATAATAAAAAAAGATGCTTTTGATTTTGAACATATCAAAAGAATTATACTTTTTGACAGGCACAACACAACATTAACTGATTTATAAACATAAAAATGATCAAAATGAGACCTGAGTCTTACCACACTTCCGAGCCAAAAGGGTCCCTGGGCTATTCTTTCCATGGTAAACCACGCCGCGAGGCATTTAAGCACAATCCCAGCCACAATATTGAGGACACCAATTATCATCTGCACAATCTATGGAACAAGAGAACAATATAGTTAAGAATATACCAAGTTGGCACAATGACATTGCAAGTCAACCAATCAAATTTTTGCTGTCAGTGTGGACAAACAAAAAATTTTTAATGGTATAAATAAGTATTTGCACAAAGTTTCCAAAATGCTTAATATTGTTTTAATAAATTACATTTAGTTGCACATGGCTAAAAAAAATTGCAACTAAAATTTAAGTTTTCCAAAACTAATACTAATTAATTTCTCTTACAATTCTTACAAGACTTTTTTCCTCACAATTGTGAGGTAGTTCTGACTTTTCTTCTCAGAATTGTGGGGGTTATATCTTGCATTAGGTTTTGAACATAAAAATAAAAAAAGGTAATTGTGAATTTTATCTCACAATTCAGAATATTTTCAAATAATGATCTTTAAAAAAGCATCATATGACCCCTTTAAGAAACGTAAAAAACGTTGTAAGCATCTTACATGGAATGTTTACTAAGTTCTGTCCAAAAAAATATACAAAGTATGCGAAAATCACAAGACCTGAAAATATCAGAAAGGTATTTTGGAATTTATGTAAATGTCAAACTCACTCCAAGAGCTGTGTGGACATCCTTCAGCTTCCCTTTCATACCCTGAGATACAGAACACACTGGACTGTAGCAGAGAAAACCCAGAATCTGACACAGTACGGGCCATTTGCTCTTTGGGTTTGAGGTGACGGTGATGACGGTCAGTCCTTCACCCCGAGACACTGTCAGAGGCATGCTGCAGATGGAAGTGATGGACTTCAACCTTACAGTAGATAACAATGGCCAAACCTGTTTGTTAACAGCATGAAATAAGAACAGCAAATGATTACTATTGCAGGAGGATCAGTTTTCCAGTACATATCATAATATCAGGAGGAAAAAAAGAACTTTAACACTTCAAACAGACTTAAAACAGGTTTTTTTATGATAGTACGCACATGTAATATTCTACACAGCATGTTTGATTATAAAAAAAAAATCCCCCTGTGCTGTTTCATATCAGGAAGTTGCGGCGCAGGTGGTTTAACCACAGTTTGTTCATTATCTTTAACGTTCTGGTCTTTTTTATTTTTGTTTTTAAGTATATGAAATTATTGTTATTAAACTTAAGAAATACCATGTTACCTTAAACTCACCTTGTGTGGCACGTGTGAGGCTCAGTATAGATGAGTGAAAATGTCACGACTCTCTGTGGGGTTTTTTTTTTTTTTTTGAAGGAGGAGGAGTTTTGATTTTTCCCGGCAGTAACTTCCTCATAATCTGTAAACAAGTATAACAGGAATTTTGTTCATTAATTCATTTACCGTTTAGTAGGCCTAATTGAAGATGTAATTGCTTAATAATAACAAATGTTACTTACCTTCACTCCACAACGTTGAAAATCATATGAAAGAAAGATTTTAAAAGGTTTCAGCCAGGACGAATCTAAAGCTTCTGTAAATGATTGATTACTGTACAGTAGACATGTAAACAGCGCCATCTATCTTTTCTATATTGGTATTACGTTAGTAGAGCGAGACTGGGTTCATATAAAGGCCTACATGTAGGCCCAGTTCCATAGACAGGGCTTAGGTTAAGCCAGGATTAGGCAATAGTTCAATTAGAACATTTAAGTAGTTTTTATAAACATGCTTTAGATAAAAACATTACTGGTGTGCATCTTGAGACAAAACAATGGCACTGACATTTTAAGATCAGTCAGTGCAAGTTTCTTTCAGTTAAAAAAACAACACAGACATGCATTTTAGACTTAGGTCTTGTCTATGAAACCAGGGGTTAATGTTTTTAAAAGGTCGAAATAGCTTAAATATGCACTACTACACAGCAAGAGATTTGGCAATGAACATGTTAAGAAGCTATCGTCATGTATTTTGGACTCGAATGCATCCTGTTTTTATTTAAACTATTTGGCTACTCTGTTCGCACAAGATATAGCCTACTGTTTATGTGCGTATTATTTTATGTAGGACTATCTGCACCAAAACAAGTGCTTTCCGTCATGCAGATCAGCCTTAGCTCATGTATTAACTTAACAAAAAATGAAAGAAATAAAATGTCATGAGTCACAATAAGATGTAAATACAAGTATAAATAGTATCTAACATAATCTGTACTATGTGTAAGCGCATTTATTGCTATTTGTATTTCCTCAGCCTTTTTGTTATGTCTGGTTCACAAACCCTTGTAAGGATAAAATTGTTCTCATGTAGTTCAGAAGCTACAATAAAGGTTTTCTGTTTTTTTAAATGTTGATGTTTTTTTGCAAAATTGCATGGAATCCAATGGGGGGTCAATGGGGGAGTCAGTTTGACCTCAACACAAAAGTTGTAACAAAATTTGTACAGACTTTCCAAAACGAGTCAAAACTTTGCATAAATGACCCTAAATGAGAACTATTCACAAAACTTCAAGAAGAAATAAATAGTTTAACCAGTATTTGGAGCAGTTTGAAAATCGAATGTGGGTCAGATTGACCCCAACACAAGATAAAAGAGCAACAAAATGTCAGTAATTCAATGATTTCTTGTTTAATTTGTCATCTTCAACAAGAGGCTAATGATCCACTTACTATTAGTGTGTGGCTGTCGGACATTCATTAGGCCTAAATGTTTTTGGTTTTTGGTTTTCTTAGCCTTCTTCAGCGTCTTCTTGTCCTGGTATATGCCCACTTTTCTTGAGCAGCCTGTGGAACCAAAATGTGAGAAATACATTGGAAACGTGTATTACATTGTACACATTGGAAACATTGGACCTGTTTCTCGTTCGTTTATACTGTTTGTCACACATAAAGTGCCAATAACAGCGTACTTTTGAGTCATTTCATACAGTGAGAGCAGTAAGGCAAGTCGATGACACTCCACGCTGCCAGAGGGCGCTGTGGAACAATCGGCGTTTGCAGCGCTTTTCCCCGCTTCTTGTTGGTGCGATGATGTAATGAAGGAAAAGAAGAGTAAAGATGGCGGAGAATAGCGGCACGGATCCTGCCGTGGAGACGAACACTGAGGAAAATGCCGCCGCTAGCGCGACTATCATTAAGGTCACCGTCAAAACACCGAAGGATAAAGAAGAAATAGCCATTGCTGAGGATTCATCTGTCGCACAGGTGATTTTTTGGCGGTTTCTTGTTGTTTGTATCACCCGGGCTTTCGTTACACCAGCGGCTAACAGCTTTAGCCGGGGAGCTAACGATTGACGACGAACAGTCCAAAGCCGAAAATCGTCGCAGGGGATATTTAGAATGACTTCTGCTCTTGCTATTACTTAAATGAGGTTATTTTGAGCGTCGTATTCATTGTTTTCGGTTTTTTAAGACGCTTGTAAAGTGAGGTTTTCTAACTCGCTGTTCTCGTTAAAGAAACGGCCTGCTCAGGTAGAAGGTTCTAGTCTGTCATCTTTGGTCGCGCTCTTTCTGTTTTGCTTTGTATTGTTGACTTCAAGAATATGTGGATAAATTAAATAACGTGTTAGATAGCATTTTCTGTAAAGGTGGTGCTAGCAGTGTTTGTTACTTCATTTGACCAGTTGCTGGTTAATGTTGATGTTTACGAGATCAGGTTTAATAAAAGTGACTGTGATGTTGCACAAAAGTGAGGTTGTGTTGATCTAATTTCACGTTTAACATTATAACCCGCATGTTTTGTCCTCTTAACAGTTTAAAGAGGAAATTTCCAAAAGATTTAAGGCGAACCAGGACCAGTTGGTTCTGATTTTTGCCGGTAAGATCCTGAAGGACGGAGACACGCTCGGCCAGCATGGCATTAAAGACGGACTCACGGTTCACCTGGTCATCAAAACAGCACAAAAGTAAGATGACCTGCTTTTAGGTTCAAAACATAACTGGTATTTTCATATGCAAAGTCATAATGTGTTGTAGGATAATGCCTGTGCATTATGGATGGCTCGCATTTAGAGGGTTTTGTGTTTGTAGGACTTCAGGTGGTGGTAGTTCGCAGACTTCTGCCTCTTCTGGCCCTGGGCCATCGCAGGGCAACACCGATGGAAGTGCTAACTCCAGCCCGGCCGGCAACCTGGGCACACCCCAGGGCAGTGGGCCGTCCCCAACCCCGACGCAGCCACCCAATATGCTAGGTGAGTAATGTTTTTGAGTTTGTTTATATGAGATGTCAGCCCGTTGTTCCTGTTTTAAGTGTAATTCCATAATATTGTTGGTGTTTCGTGTTGCAACCAGTTTTGTTACTGTTAACTACATCTATCAACATTGTTTTTTCTAATTGAAATAAAATGTAAGTATTAGACAAAAAGCTTAAACTTAAAAACCCTAAATGACAATAAATTTTGCCTTGGCAGTAGGGCTAGACGGTTAATTGCATTTGCGATAATATCGCGATACGAAAAATTTCGATTTTTCAATCGCAGAGGCTGCGATTACACGGTCACGTGACACGCTAGAGTAAAGAGGTGTGTTCGACTTGAAGATCAGACCGGTGTATGACATCAAAGTATGGCGAGCGAGAGAAAGCATAAGGAGACGTCCGCGCTCTCTTATAGCTCTCTCAGTACTTTGATGACACACACCCATCGGCCTAAGCAGTGCTGTTTGTGTGATTTGTTACTGACTTTCATATTAATGTTTACACCAGGCTTATTTAAACATAATTATGCTTACAATGTTGGAAGTTCAACAAATCAGTCAATGTACTGTGATTGTAGTTGTTAAATAAAAATGTCATTCATATCAATTCATGCATCACCTAATTTCATGGTAACATATAAGCCTGGCCTACAGAAAAGGACATTTATGTTTAATCTATCTAATAGTGTGTTGGTCATACTATACAATGATTTATAGCTTGTCTTTGTTGAATAATACAGAACATAAAGAGCTTTAAAAAAAAAAATTGCATATTAAATCGCAATCGCAATATTGGTAAAAAAAATTGCAATTAGATTATTTTCCAAAATCGTTCAGCCCTACTTGGCAGCTAACTGAAAGAAGTATTGAAGTATTAAAATTACTGGAACACAAACTGAAACAAATATTTAAGATAAAATTAATAATATTAAAAAACAAATATAAAAAAAAATGCTGAAAAAAATATACCAAAAATCAAACTAAACAATCTAAATTATACATATATACTGTATTTGTAAAATTCTAAAAATAAATACAGTATATTTAAAAATGTTTATTAATGATATATGTATGAAGTTTGAGTTTGTTTATATTGTGGATTGCTTATTTCCCAATGCGATTTTACAGTATCTTATGTTGCGATGTAGCACTTTTTCAGTTTACTGGCTGATTTTTTTAATTTATTTTTTTTATCTAAATTAGTTCCTTTTCTAGTAGGGATGTAACGATTAACCGCGAGCCGGTTGAAAATCGATTCAAATATGTGACGATTCAAATCGGTTGAGATGCTAAACAAATCGCGATTGAAAGAGCACAGACAAAGCCTTATTTTGTTTATATGAAGAGATTTCTTTTATTTGTGTTACTTATTTATTTGATTTGGGGCTTGTTTTAAAATTTCAATTTAGTTTTGTTATTTACATTTACATTATATTTCAATTTTGTCATTTAGCAGACACTTTTATCACTTTAATCAAAACCAACAAAAAAGCAATAATATGCTACTGCTATATTAGTATATTATATAGTGTTACATTTTAATTTCACAAAGAAATATGCAGCGTTTTGTCCAAGCAATAATAAAAGGACACATTTAATTTATAATTTGTCTTAAATCTCATTTTGTAAAAAATAAAATAAAATCGTGAATCGAATCGTGAAATCAAAATCGTGAATCGAATCGTGAGTTGAGTGAATTGTTACATCCCTATTTTCTTCAAATAATTGTTTAAAAGACAAATGCTTCTCATTGTATGTTTTCAGCTGGGTTTGGTGACCTGTCGGGCCTAGCTAACCTCGGTATGGGATCTGCCAACTTCATGGAGCTTCAGCAGCAGATGCAGCGACAGCTCATGTCCAACCCTGAGATGCTGTCTCAGATCATGGAGAACCCGCTTGTGCAGAGCATGATGTCCAACCCTGACCTGATGAGGCAGATGATAGTCGCCAACCCACAGATGCAGCAACTGATGGAGCGCAACCCAGAGATTTCACACATGCTTAACAACCCAGAGCTCATGAGACAGGTATGTTATTAGACATGTACTAGAAGTTATTTTGCTTGATTTTTTTGCAATAATAAAATGCGCAAGGTAGTACGCAGTTATATTTTGCCTTCAGACAGTTCTTTATTCTGACTTGCACATCTAAAAGGTGTGCATTTGCTTCATTGCATTATTTCAGGCACTGATTTGTTTTTATTAACTTTCTTTTTTTGCTTGTCAAGACAATGGAGTTGGCACGAAACCCAGCCATGATGCAAGAGATGATGCGTAACCAGGACCGGGCGCTTAGCAACCTCGAGAGTATTCCCGGGGGTTACAATGCTCTTCGGAGGATGTACACGGATATTCAAGAGCCCATGTTTAGTGCTGCACGTGAACAGGTCAGATAAATGTATTTATTTAAAAAATATATTTATTTTTATTTGAAAACAATGTAATTTTAATAATAATAAAAAAAGGTTTTCACCTAAAATATTATTGAATTTGTCAAATTCACTGTCAAGTCTTAACACTCATGAAATGGCAACATTAAATGCTATATTGCGTCATCTGAACAGTTTGGAAATAACCCCTTCTCGGCATTGGGTGGAAATGCTGATAACTCTGGAGCACAGCCCTCCAGGACAGAAAACCGAGAGCCCCTGCCAAATCCCTGGGGTCCCCCTGACACTGCTGCCACCACCACCTCTGGGACGGCTACCACCACCAGCTCCACCACAAGCTCAACCACACCCAGTGTGTCCAACCCTCTGGGCATCAGCTCCTCTAGCCTTGGAAACGGTAATGGTCTTTTATGTAAACATTTGGCTTTAATTTTAAAACCAGGTCCATGAATTTTATTGAGGATATGTTGTAGTAGAATTTTCAAGCAGATAATATGAGTTCACAGGTATAGCAGACTATATATTTATTTTGTTAATAATATATATATAAAAATATTTTTTCAGGTCAAATACTGCATAAAAGGGTTTATATCTTAAATAAATTGATTTTATCTATCTATCTATCTATCTATCTATTGTGGTTTGCTTTTAGGTATGTTCAACAGTCCTGGCATGCAGAGCTTAATGCAACAGATCTCTGAGAACCCTCAGCTTATGCAGAACATGCTTTCTGCTCCTTATATGCGCACCATGATGCAGTCCCTGGCCCAGAATCCTGATATTGCCTCTCAGGTAGCAAGACCATCATTCCCAAAAGTTCATCATTCATAAAACTTTTAATTTACTATAATGGTCTGTTATTAATATGTAACCCTAACCCTTTTTCAGGTGTTGATGAACAACCCTCTCTTTGCCGGAAATCCACAGCTGCAGGAGCAAATGAGACAGCAGTTACCTGTATTTATACAGCAGGTGTGTTCAGTTTGCGTTGTTGTAGATCGTCTATGGGGTATAGGTTTCATTTGCTTTTATTTGCTAACTGACTTGTTTTTCTGACTCACTTGCAGATGCAGAACCCAGAATCCCTTTCTGTTATGACAAATCCTCGAGCCATGCGAGCCCTAATGCAGATCCAGGAGGGACTGCAAACCCTTCAAACCGAAGCCCCTGGTCTTATGCCCAGGTGCAGTTCCAGCTCCACATTTTTTTTATTATTATTATTTTATTTTTTAAGTAGTCCCAGTTATGCTAATCATTGCTCCATGTATTCAATCAATATTACAGTATAAACTGTACATAGTGTGAAATATTATTATTATTATAAATATGTAAAATGTATTTTGTTCATGTGATGCAAAGCTTAATTTTTCAGCAACCAGTCTTCAATAATTCTTCAGAAATCATTCTTAACATTTCTTATAATAATCAGTGGAATGTTTTTGTGACAACTATACTTTTTTGTTGTTGTTTCTTTAATGAATAGAAAGTTCAAAAGAATAGCATTTTTGAAATCTTTTTTGTAACATGAATGCATTTACTTTCACTTGAGTTTAATGCATCTTTGCTTAATAAAAGTAATATCTTTATTTTTTTTCTTTTTATTATATTTTTTCACACTTTTGCATGGTTATATATATATCATGTTTTCCACACAACAGATGCTACAGATGTTTGCTGGAGGGAATGCATCGGTACTTACGTTTTTTTGTTGTTAATAACATTATCAGTGTTTCCCATTAATTACCTGTATTCTGGTGGCCTGCTACAAATTTTTAGTATTAGAAGTTTTTTTTTTTTTGTGGGTTTTATATCGCTTAGCTACTTCGTTCTCTACAGAATGAAAAGAACACATCCTCTTTCTACTAGTTATTTCCCTCTTGGCTTTGTCGTCAAGTAAATGCAGCTTCCTCTAGATTAGAGCACACGTGCTTATTAAATGGGTTTGTTTTATTCCAGTTATGTAAATTAGTTGACGGATCCCATAATCTAAACAAACAGTGTGGCAATATCTGCACCTTACCAAATAAATGTCAGATCAAACTCACCTACCTGTGATTTTCGAATGATCCTGAAGACATTGATTAGCATGCTCAGGTGTGTTTGATTAGGGTTAGAGCTAAACTCTGCAGGAAAGTGGATCTCGTGGGCCAGATTTGAGGATCCCTGGTCTAATCTGTCCTGGCACAGTTTCAAAATGAAATAAATATTTTTACGTTCTCATAATTACTTAAAATGTCTTTGACGATGTGCTTTGTGCCATTTCTTCAGCAGAGCATCTGTCAAGTGAACAAAAATCAAACGCACAATATGTCATAGTGCCCTAATTGCAAAAGGCTGTGATTTAATAAAGTGAATAGTCTGTTGTGCTAAGTATTTCAAAGCAAGGTGCACAGTTTGCTCACGATCATGTGTATTGTAATGAGAACCTGTTTTCACAGAAATGGCAGGTTTCCACAAATAACAGCTTGAGGGTTTCACTCTCGCAATTGAAGAAATTAAAATGAAACTATTGTAATTTTCCCAGTTGTAAAGTAAAATATGCTTAATACAAAATATTCCGTTTTCACTTCTCTTTATTTTACAGTGCAGTTGTAATACAATAATAATATATTACTGACTTAGGAACAATGCTCAGATTTCTACTATTACTAATAAAACTATCAGACTGTAATAATAACTATTATTATATTCTAATTCTTTGGCATCTCTAAAATCAGTGTGACTGAACTGAAAAGATGTTTGGAGTCCAGATACAAATCAGTGCTGAAAATGGGCTGGAGCAGACTTTTGAAAGCTTTATCACCAAATCCTGTGGGAAACACTGAGTGTGCTGTGTATATTTGATTGTACTCACTACTTCTCACCTCGCTTTGCAGACTCCGACTCCGGAAGTGCGTTTCCAGCAACAGCTGGAGCAGCTGAGTGCCATGGGCTTCATCAACAGGGAAGCCAACCTTCAGGCCCTCATCGCCACCGGGGGTGACATCAACGCTGCCATCGAAAGACTGCTCGGCTCTCAGCCTTCCTAATTCCATCAACTGAGAGCGTGCGAAGGGAGACAAGCAAATATAGTCCTCATCACATAAAATCTGACAAGCCTCACATAGACAGAATTCCAATTACTCCAATCGTGTTTTTTTTGTTTTTTTGCTTCGATCATTCAATCTCTGAATCAAAAAGCAATGAGGGTTTCAAATTTGTTTCCTTGAACAAAAACAGAAAAAAAACAAACAAACCAGAATCGCTGTGGAATGACATCACACTAACCTCTCATCAACTAGTAAGATGGGACAAAGCTTACATTTTGCTTGAACCAAGTTTGAGTTACCATTCCTTACAATTAGAACACGCTCACCTGAGGCACTACTCATTGGTTAGGGGAATAAAATCCATACGCTTGAATTCCGAGGCCCAGAGGGATTCTTGTCTTCTGTGAAAATGCTTGGTTTCCTTAATTTCTCTCTGTTTCTTCTAATTCATGCCTGATCAAACCAGTATTTATTGCAGAAACGTAGAGCTTACCCTTTACTCCCTTTCCACCCTCCTCAGTTGACATTGATTTGTGCGTTCCTTGACATTTTGATGTGTTAATCAAAATCTAATAGACATGAACATGTTGGAGCACTATAACATCTTGACTCTGGTCGCTTACACTTCAGCTATTTTAGAAAGGAATGAGTTTTGGAGATGAGATTTGGAAAAGCTATTCAGCCATCTCTTTAGTCGTTTGCCTTTGTGAGGAGTGTACATGAATTGACCGTAAAGGCTTGTCATATGGGTAAGGTTGTAACAAAAGCATCAATAAAATATTTCTCAGCTTAACAAGCAGTGGCGAATGTAGACACCATTTGTTTCGACCATATCTTTATGCTTTGCTATAGAAGTATTCTAGTGCCTGGAACACACTTGTATTGTGTACTGGATACATCATCCTCGAGTTGATCTGGCAAAAAAAACAATGGGTTACAGCATGATAGTGATGCTAGCTTCTCTCGGTGCTAACCAACAGCTGTCTAATGGAACTTACAGAGTTTTATTGTGAATTTAAAATGTGTTTAACTTTTTTTTTTTGCTGCACGTCCATAATCCACTCTTTATTCCACTTGAATTACATTACAGAAACCAACATTCATTGGGGTTTGTAGTTCCTTCTAGTATTTGGTTTTGTCTTAAATCCAATGTTTTTGTTTTTTATATTTGCAATGTTGGGCTGCATGACACCTTGCAATTTTACTTTTTAAAGTTTAAAAATTATTGCATGATCATTCTCTTCTTATAACCGCAATATTTTTAATTATTGTCTAATTAATGTGGAGGTCACACACACAAGTCATTTGTTCTTGTTGATGCGTTATATAACCATTTAATTTCACAATCACAAAGCTTTAGTCATTATGATTGCTTTAGGTAGACATCTTTTAACTTTTTAAAAATCTAATTTCTTGTTAATTTATTTAACACAATATGAGAACTGAAAATCTGAAATTTTAAAATTGGAGTTGGATTGGAAACCTGGTGAATATTTTAGTCAATTTTGATTTTCTTATGCTTAGCTGTAAAATTTGCTTTTTTTGTGGGTGCAATTACTATAAACAATAATTTAAAAAAAATTATGTAACTTAATTTAAGGTCTGGAAATCATAGCCTCTTAAAAATCAAGGTTCAAAAAGGGTGAAGTCAGATATAAAAGAACCGTTTTGGGTTCCTCAAAGAACATTTCAGTTAACAATTCTTAAAATGTGCCTTTTTTTTTCTTCTTTGTGTAAAGAACATTTCAATCATTTAAATAACCTTTTTTTTTTTTTTCAAAAAATAACCATTAGTGCATTGGAAAGATTCTGTTGATGTTAAAGGTTCTTCATGGAACCAATGAAGCCAATAAAGGCCATTTATATTTAAGAGTGCATATGTAGCCTACAGTATATTGTAAACAGGTTGTGACTTAATGAGGGTGAACTAGTTGAAGATTGAATACCCTTACAATTTTAACCTAAGGGGTTGTTGCCCTCACCTCCCAAAAGAAAGTCAAAACAAATGGTTGCGAAATCTCAAAAGTATTTATTTTATTTTTTGACATACAGTTATAGCCATTTAACCGTTTAAAAAATAAATTAACAGTTAAAGTGAACGCTATCTACACAATACGAGCTGTTTATACGGTTGAATCCGTTCCAGGCTATATATTATACTTATATTACACATTATTTTCTATTTTATAACGCATTTATATATCTCCAGTATATATATATATATAAACTTTAGTTGGTTTCGTCGTTCTTTTGTTTTATTAATGACCCGAAAAACAAATAAATAAATCATCCATGTTATGTTCAGTTTTGGTCTCTAGGCCAAAGTCCCTTTTGTCTAGGCCACGTTTTTGTAGTTCGTAGGCACTGCCATGACACTACATTTCCCATGAATCCTCAGCGCGGAAGTTCGAAGTCAGCTGATGTTCTTGTTGGGTTGCTGGAACTGGAAGTTCTTGCTATAATCTCGCGTAAATTTTTAAACGTATTAGTATTATTGCCGTGTTCCTTTAAATTATGTTGCGTCCTAAAGCATTAACACAATTACTCAGTCAAGCAAACACCAGTGGCGTACAAAGCACGCTGTGAGTATATAAAAATCATTCTTTGTTCTTATCAGTAACGTAGCTTTAGCTGGCAGATAAATTGGTAAACAATAATATGTTGTACATTTATGTTATTAACATGCTCTCTTGAGTTAAAAGTAAGGTATTTTGTTGCGTATGGGCTTTGCTTAATGCATGTTAAACAATTAAAAATGTTTATATAGTCATATTTAGAAATATCGGAATATCTTTTTCATTAGATTAAATATCAAGTCAAATCCCATTATTTTAAATAAATATATCACACACACCATTTTAAAGAACAAACATTACACAAAAATATATTTGTTGTTTAATGTTTATCTGTGTGAACTCAAGGAGAACTGACTTCATACATCCACAGAAAACACCAAAACATCCGTTCAGTTTTAATGAACTAGTGTAGGCCCTATGTTGTGCAAAAAAAATCATGAAGAAAAGTTAAATTAGGTCAGAGAAATTTAGTTTGCAGGCCACTTTACAGGTCAAAGTACCAGTTGTTTATGAATTTATGTTCAATTCATGTATATAGGCTACTTTAAAAAAAAAATATGTAATTTTTTTTTGTGTGTGTTTTTTGTTTTAGGTTATTGAATAATGAAGGCTCTCTATTGGCATATTCTGGATATGGAGACACTGATGCAAGAGTCACTGCAGCCATAGCCAGCAACATCTGGGCGGCTTACGACAAAAACGGACACCAGGCCTTTAATGAGGACAAACTGAAATTCATCCTGATGGATTGTATGGTAGGAATGTCATTGTACAGTTGGGTTATAGTAAATGATTGTGAATGCTGATCTTTGATATATGCAATAACATATGCATTATACAATATATGCACAAATTCAGCACAGCAGATGCTATAGGCCGTGTCTGGATTTACCAAACATATGTGCTTTTTTGAAATTACACCATGCCAGAAATAATACTAACATGATGAACTACTGTATTGTTCTACAATAATTTTTCCTTTATAATGTGCTGCATTTTCTCTGTCATTACAGGAGGGCAGGGTGGCCATTACACGTGTTGCAAACTTGTTGCTTTGCATGTATGCCAAGGAGACAGTAGGCTTTGGGATGCTTAAAGCCAAGGTGAGATTTGGTGTATATAAAATAGCTCTTAATTAATTATGTATTTTCATGAACAATCATAGTAACTGTGTCTGTTATGTTCACAGGCTGAAGCTTTAGTGCAGTACCTCGAGGAACCACTAACACAAGTGGCAGCATCGTAGGATGTACTTTTGTGTATTTCTGTACATTGAAACAGAAACTTCTGAAGATCTTGGCCTTTATAATATATTATCTATGGCTTTATTTATTTGCATACTCAGTGTGATTGCTATATCAAATTGTGTGGCTATTAGACCCAAAATAATGCTTTGCATAAACATTAATAATTGCTTTTGAACTGCATTTTCCCTTTTTATTATATTTTCTTTATGTCTCAGAATTTTTGCAGTCAGTGATCAGGCTGTGTCTAGTGTCAACAATATTAAATAAATTTCTCTTTTTGTTACATGTTGTTGTTTTACCATTAAAACACAAGAAATTGATGCTTTTTATTAATTACGTCTAGAATAATATTAATTGAACCAAAAAATACTTTGTATAAAATAATGTATCTGAAGATGAAATATCACTTTATCACTTTGTTAATCGGGGTTTCTGTATTTTTTTTTTAAATAGGTCTAAAGTCACACTATTGCAAATTAAGGCCATAAAATATCAAATCAGAGCAGAAAGTCTTGAATTCAGAAACTCTTGGCATTTAATGTTGCATACAGTGTACAGTACAAATATCTAAACATCATTAAATCAAGATCAATTTACTTAAGATGCAAAAAGATATGAAGTCTTGTTTTCTGAGAAAATGAACAAAATTAAATGAGTTTATACTTAAAACAAGAACAAATATCTGTCAATGGGGTATGAAGACATTCCCCTTTTTTTATTAAATTGCAGATATTTGTTCTAATTTAAATCATAAACACACTTAATTTTGATCCATTTCTCAGAAAACAAGATTTCCTATTTTATGTCATTTCGCTTCTAAAGTAAATGTATCTTGGTTTAAGAATCTTTAGACATTTGTACTGGAAAATAGACAAAAATACTGATAAAGAACGAGGTTTTTTTTGTAGCGTGATCAGAAGGTACAGTAAAAGTTATTTCTAGTGGTTGGGAGCAAAAGCATTCGAGTCATAAGCTTAAATAATTTACATTTAGAGACCATAATGATGTTTTGTGTTCCATTCTATTTATTCCTTATATTTGGTTTACTCGGTCTTAAAAAGTCTTAAATTTATCTTCATAAAACCTGCAGAAACTCTGTATAATATTTGGGTTCAAGCAATAATCCAAAATATGCACCATGGGAGGGGCTCTTCCATGGCAAATGCCTTCCTGATCTTGGGAGAAACTGCTTAAAAAAGCGATTGGTTGCATATGGTGTGTATGTCGTCGTTTCATTGGCTGAACAGGTGCACTATTGCACCCAGTTTCATATGACTGCACCTGCGCTCGCCCTACCTGTTTGACCTGACTTGAGCGCACCAAAAGTCACGCCCACCTTCCCCCAGGTACGGCACATTTGATAGCGGAACTGCCAGGCTAAATAACAAGGTTAGTTCCTTGTACAAGCAACTGAACTGTCCACCATAAACGGTGGGGTTTCATTCGTACTTCTTACTGTTTCTCTGCTATTTCAGGTCAGCCGCTGTAGCATAGAGAGGAGGAACTTTCATTCTCGGTTTTCCTTTGAATTGGTTGGGATTTTGACTCATGCAGCACTGATCTAGATTAGTGAAGGAA